TAATAAGCTGTTGTTTCCTTTTCTCCTAACCCTTTTCTTCGAAATAGGGAACATATATATATGCAAGACAATAAAATATACGTTGCAAATTTTTGATATTCAAGGGCATGAAAATCTTAGATAATCAAAACTAAAGAAACCAAAACTATCAAATAAAAACGTACATATTCAAAGGTCAAATAAAAAACGTACGTATTCAAATAAAAACGTACATATTTAAACCGAACAAAAGAATGTAAAGGACCTAATCTTCTTCTCTATTCAGAGAAGGAATCCCACCATATATATATATATATATATATTTAATGATTGTAATAAACCCAAATATAAATACCACAACGGACAAAAACATAGCAATTAAAATATTTAAATAAAAAAATATTTACTCCAACAACATGCTTTCACAATCATCATTTTTGCATGCAAAAATTTAATTTTTATTGGATGCTGAATGTATCTATCTTAATCTAATTGATTTGTTCTTCAACACTAAAATCTTGGGTGTTTAGAGAAGAGAATGCTTTAAATGTGTTAATTGTATTCTTCTCGTTCTGATTGTATTATGGACTGCATTCCTAGCATTTGAAATATCAACCATTCGTAATAAAATGAGTGTTATGTCACGTGTATGAGCTACTGCAAGTTGTTTATGCAAAGTGAGTCTCCTAACACATAACCCATTAGTTAACATACTCAAAACGGGTTTACTATTTACACTCATAACATATCAATGGTCCAACAATTGTGGGGCTCGAAATTTATATAAGATCAAATCATAAATTAAAATTAAACTGTGCAAGTAATTAAGAATTATTACTTGCTAAAAAAATCCCAGTAGTCAATTCCTTCTTGTTACTTCAGGGTTTATCCAACAACTGGATCCGATCAAACTGCATCACCCAACAAAACAAACGGAAAAAAAAAAAAAAAAAATCAGGAGAGCTAAATTAAACATACACTAACCTACCTTCCGGCCAGGAGCGTTCGTGGATTATGAATTGTTTTTGTAATTTTTAAACATATACTAACATACACTAACCTAACTGAGAAACCTAATTTTTAAAAGATTGTTTAGGTAAAGAGCAGTAGTAATATTGCAATCATAGACTCATAGTGAAGGACATAATGCAGATATAAATTATTTAACAGAGTCCTTTGGCTGTACGAATATGTATAACAGAACAATACTAAGCACAGTTCAAACTATGTTCTTATGTCCTATAATTTCCTTTCAAGTTGACAATTCATAGGTAATTTAGAAGGATACAATTGTTAAATAGTGGAAGACATTTTAAATGTATAATAAGAGTAAAACATAAAAAAAAAAGTCATATGCCTTTAGGTGAAACCTTACTGGATATTGCTTGGAATGGTGGGTTCTGACCCGGTGAAGGGCTCTGTTAAGTGCCTTTGGTTATGGTTTTTCAGCTGTTTTTTTTTTTTTTTTTTTTTTTTTATGGTGATAATGCTTAGGGGCTAAATACCCAAAATGGTCCATGAGATTTGCATAATCAATAGAAATAGTCCTTGAGATTGAAAATCAATAGAAATAGTCCCTGAGATTGTCCACCATCCATGATTTTGGTCATTCCTTTAAAAACTCTTTGGGCAATTTTCAAAACTTTGTAACTCAATTGTTTCTTAACCAAATTCTGCCCATAATATATCAAAATGAAGATAGGAAAGTGTAGAACAAGATTGTACCTATTTGGAAGCCCAATGGTTGTCGGAGATGGCTGGAAAATAGCTTGAAAGGTGACTAGTCCGCGGGAAAACTGGAAAACTCGCCGGAAACTAGATAAACTTTAAACGTTCATAATTTATTCAATACCCTTGGTTTCTACTTTGGTTCCCTTATTGCTCATGATTTGTTACAGGAAAAGTTTTTTTTGTCCTTCCCGGCCTCGCGTCTCTCATCAGCTTTGGATTCGGTTTGTATTGGACAAAAAAAATAAGATTAAAAAAATGTTAGGAGTTAAACATAAGCACATGATTTCTAACGCCAAAAAGGATAAAAAATAATAAAGAAATTGTTAGAGAGAAAAAAATGATTAAAAAATGTGAAAACTGTGTTTAGTTTTTATTTTCTAATATTTTCTCTACCCACTCAGACTCCCCATCTCCCGACACTGTCACTCTCTCTCATCCCTCACTACTCTCTGCCTCTCCCATCTGTCCCCCCCTCATCCCTGACCCTCACCTCTCTCTCTATCTCTCTCTCTCTCTCTCTCTCCTTAGAGAGACTCCACCTTTGCAAAGGCTTCCCCAAGCTATTCACTATTTAATCCACCCAGTAAATAGTAACTACCCTTAATGAATAGTAATTATCTTTTGCATCTCCATCCCTACACTGAATAGCCCTGATAATAGGCAATAAAATATCAGTAGCCCTGACAATAGACAATAAAATATTAGTATTTTTTAATTTATAAAATAATACAAATAATTTAATTTGTAATTTCGGATAAGATTTTTAATCGTTTTCGCGTCATGTGTCATTATCCGAAAAGACAATTATTGGTGATGGATTTCGATAAGATTTTGAAACCATCAAACCACCATCAACACATCAGCACGAACTTCTGACACACAGCAGAGCAACACACTTGAATGCCTTTCTTAATTTTTGCTGCACTTCTGTAGTCCATGGCTTTACGAAACGGTGTGGTGCAGAGGGGTGCCGTGAAGCTGGATCACCCGATTAATTTCATAACGTCATCGTTCAAGTCCCGACTCCCTCCTTCTCAATCTCCCAGATTCGCCTTGCGCCGGAGTAGCCCCGTGCTATTTGGCTCCCGAGCTTCAAAGGACGACGGAGGTTAGTTTTTGTTTCCCCAAATAGGATTCAATTGAATTTTGGAGAAAAATGGAAGCATTATTTCAATTAATCATTTAATAAATGTTTAGAATTTGGAAAATTTGGGGTAATAGAATAAGCATGGCAAATTCAAATGAGTAAATGAAATGTTGCTTGTATGCCTATTGCTTAACTTTTTTCGAATCAAATAGTACCTGGAAGAGTTTGAGTAGCTGTAAGGTTGAGGCCCAGAAATGCAAAGGAGATCATGGCTGATGTCGCCCAAATGTCAGCCTTGCGTCATATGGCCTTCAGGCTCTCGAGCCGGAAACTCCTGCCGGGCCTTTCCTTCGGGCCGGCTCGGGCTCCATCGCCAGCACACACTGGACCTCCCCACTCGGGCTCTTTGCCCTTGTTTGAGAGCCAGTCCATCAGGCAATAGCCCACAGTGGAACTGCTCTTATTTTCATTGTTTTTCCGCCTGCCTTTCTTTCTCTCTCAAGCTTTCTTTTTCTCTGTTTCCGATTTTCTCATCTTTCTCATTTTTCTCAGCCAAATCATCTATGCAAATTTCTTGCGTTTAAAGCCCTTGGAAAAATAAATAGTTGCTGCATCTTGCATTTAAAACCCCTAGGTCAGTACCCATTTTTTTGGTGTTATTCTCTATTTTCATCTATGATCCCTGTAAGTCTCTCTCACTCTAGAGGTACCCTGCCACTGGATTTCATTTGCCGTTGCCGATCTGCAAGTAAAGCTTCAATTTCCATATTAAGGTTCTATTTTTCTTCATTTCTGGAATTTGGTGTTAATTTTTGTAATTTATTTCTATTAATTTTGGTCTTGGTTGGTTTTTCCATTTTATCAGGGTGGATTTGTCACCTCCAAGGTCCACAACCGTTTATTGGTGAGTTTTTTTTTTTTGTTTTTTTTATTTTAGTTTTAAATTTTTTTTTTTGGTAGTTTTCCATGTTGAGGTGGGATTTGTGGATGATATTTTTTTTCTTATTCTGGGTATTTTGTATATCATTAGATCCATTGCCTGGGTCGATGATTTGTTTATGTTTTTCGTTTCAGAACGCGTTGCTCTACGTTTTTTGGAATTTAGTTTTTGTAATTTTGGGTATTTTGTTTATATCCTTAGATATGTTGTTTGGTTGTATGATTTGCTTCAGTGTTTTGTTTCAGGTCACTTTGCTCTTCGTTTTTTGGGAAATCTGTGTACAAGCTTAGAAGCCGGTATATGCTCAAAGTAAATAATTTTGGTTTTTTCCTTAGAGCTTTTTCTACCACAAATTTTATTTTTTTAATATTGTGAATGTCATGCCCCCGACCCGGAGTCAATGGGACCCCAAGCCCGGTGTGTGGGTAATGTAAGAGCAACTCCAGCCTTGCTGGTTGCTCGGGGGACAGTGGAGAGGAAAGGGCCCGAGGCCCTGTGGACTGAGCTCCAGCCGTGTGGAGCCCGAGCGACGGTGGGAGCCCGAGCGAAGGGGGGGTGGGGAGTCGACGGGCCTGTGGCCCGAGGGCTTTGCAATTTTTTATTTTGTTTGTGTCAGAGAGAGAGAGAGAGAGGGGGACCGGAGATTTTTTTTGTGTCAGAGAGAGAGAGAGGGGGGGGACCGGAGCTGGGCTTCCATGGGTGCGGAAGGGAAGTGGGTCGTCGCGGGGGGGGGAGGGTGGGTCGTCGGGGGCGGGGGGGCGGGGGGGGAGGTAGCTGGGTTCTGGTTTTTGCAGGGGGCTGGGTTCTGGTTTTTGCAGGGGGTTCTCGGGGGTGGGATGAGAGGTGGAAGAAATGGAACTGGGTTCGGGTTTTTGTTTTTTTTTTTGTTTTTTTTTGTTTTTTTTAATTGGATTAATATTATAATATTTTTAATGTATAAAAATTATTTATTTTTACTAAGGATTCTAAAAAGATAACGACACATGACACGATAACATTGGATAAAAATCTTATCGAAATCCTTCGCTAAATAATTGTTTTTTTGGATAAAAAGACACATAGCGCAACGAGAACGATTTAAGAATTCTTATCCGAAATTACAAATAATTTTATTTTGTATTATTTAAACAAACAAAAAAAACTATTATTTTAATTGTCTATTGCTAGGGGGAAGGGCTTAAAGGGTGGAGATGCAAATGGCAGTTACTGTTCATTTAAGGCAGTTACTGTTCATTTAAGGCAGTTACTGTTTATTTAAGGCAGTTACTGTTTATTTAAGGCAGTTACTGTTCAATAGGGTGGATTGAATAGTGGATTACCAGGGGGAAGGGCTCCATGGGTGGAGTTGCTCTAAAAGTAAAACTAAAGACATAAAATAAGAACTCTTATACAAGTAAATATTACAAAATCATTACAAAGTGTACAAAAATAGGCAAAACTCAGCTCGTCTAGCACCTGTCTTGTCAACTAACTCATCTGTAAAATAAAATGGTGAGGGGTGAGCAACAACCATCATCGCTCAGTGAGTAGAATATGTAATATGCCAATTAAGTAATGCCATTTTAGTTACTATGGAAAATACAATAATAATATCAAAATCATCATGCATGTAGTGCCATATCACATCATCCCTTTATATGTTCATTATATCCTTCATAAATAGTAACTCACCACGTGACTCCTATTGGCTATTCTGCCCTAATGTCTTTGTGTGCAGTTTACATTTATTCCTCGGATTAATGCAACACTAAAGTTCTGATGCTCCATGAACAATTCCAAATATCCACATATCACTATATTAATAATTCCGAAAGATATTTCTACAAATCTAACATACTTGACTTGAAATAGAGATATTTGAAACGAAGTATAATTTGCAACACGTTACATAAATCACTCACCTTCATAATTCGAGTTTTGACAAGACAACCCATCTAAAAATCTCCAGAACTTAAGCTTAGATGCATACTGACTAACTCCTTTGCATGATAACAAAGGAGAGCATTTGCTGTCATTCATACTCTCGGCCTCTCTCCCTGCTTCTCTGCGTTGCTCTCTCCCCAAAACTCGCGGCTGCTCTGCTTCTGGTTTTAAACAAATGGCATTCACATGGCTTTTAAAAAATGAGAGTGGACACGAGAAGAAAGTGGGGGAGAAAAGAAAAGAAAGTATTAATATAATGATGTTGAAAAGATAAAAAGGTTATGATGATATTTGTAGAAAGAAGAGAAAAGCCGGCTGAAAATGGGGAAAGGGGAGGGAAGGTGTATGATGATGGGTAATAAAATAGGGTGCATTTTTGCTCACCCATAGAATTATGGACTTGGCTTTTCTGCCCTTTCACTTCCCATATACTTTCATCCTCTCTTATTTGTACGATGACAGTTAAGCTATATCAACATTTTATATAACTATTGTTTTTTATCTTATTATCTTTATAAAAAAATTAATATAAAATATTAATATGACTTAACCGTGATTACTATAACTTAACCGTGATTACTATGATTACTGATCAAGAAAGAGAAAAGAAATGGTTGCCGACAAGAAAAAAGAAAGCTGGTGTGAAACATGGAAAAGAGGAAGCCTTGAAACAAGGAAAAGAGCAGAGATTTGAATCATTCAATTTGTGTTAAAATATTTAATTTTTTTAATTTCAATGTTTTCTTCGTTAATTTATATCGGCTTTTTAGCTTATTGGGAGCTTATATAATGGGTGCATTTTTGCTCACCCACATTAACTATAACGTATGCTCACCATCTTTTTCAATGCTTGCCATGTGTAATCCACACTAACTCTAGTTAAGCCTTCTATTTTTTATTTTTTTTGCTTTAATTAATAGGTGAGAGAATCCTGCTTTTATTTATTTACTTCTATATATATCATTTCTTTTTTAAATATTTTATTAAAACTTTAAACTCTCATTTTTTTAATACAAACAGACTCAACTAATTCCAATTTAAAAAACATAAACATAAACTTAAAACCCCAATATCGATTGCGCCTTCATAGGTTTTCTGTAAACTTCCATGACTTAGATCTTTACTATTGTATGATCATGTAAGGAGTTTTTATCATAAATGGAGTTTTTTTTATCATAAATAGGATATGTAACTAGTTGGAGATTATGGTAATCAAAATATGTGTAATCAAACTTTTATGGTAATTAAAATATGCGAGCTTGATCTTCCATCTGCATATGATTCTAACTTTATATGGATATACGAATCATATCAAATCATTTCGTCAATATCCAACAAAAACTACTTTCAGTGACAAAACTAATAGGACAAATGATGTCATTCAAAATACAATTGTTTTAGACGAAACTCGTCAAAATAAAATTGTACAAAAAGCTAGTCCAAAAAATACAATTGTTTGAGATGAAACTTATCAATATCCAACAAAGTACAATTGTTTGAGATGAAACTCATCACAATAAAATTGTACAAAGCTAGTAGGATGAATATTCTCCACTTCAAGGGATGTCGTTCCAAAAAAATTTCTCTAAATTCTATTACAAGTTGATCTAAGATGTTGATGGATTTGAAAATTTTAGTTGATGAGTGGTTCCCAGAGGTATTGGTTGAATGTTCCTCAACTGAAATTTTCAAATCCATCAACATCAAACATTCAACCAATCGATCTGGGAACCACTCCTGAACTGAAATTTTCAAATCCATCAACATCTTAGATCAAGTTGTAATAGAATTTAGAGATTTTTTTTGGAATGACATCCTTTGATGTTGATGGATTTGAAAATTTTAGTTGAGGAGTGGTTCCCAGAGGTATTGGTTGAATGTTCCTCAACTGAATTTTTCAAATCCATCAACATCAAACATTCAACCAATACCTCTGGGAACCACACCTCAACTGAAATTTTCAAATCCATCAACATCTTAGATCAAGTTGTAATAGAATTTAGAGATTTTTTTTGGAATGACATCCTTTGAAGTGGAGAATATTCATCCTACTAGCTTTGTACAATTTTATTTTGATGAGTTTCATCTCAAACAATTGTATTTTTTGGACTAGCTTTTTGTACAATTTTATTTTGACGAGTTTCATCTAAAACAAATTGTATTTTGAATGACATCATTTGTCCTATTAGTTTTGTCACTGAAAGTAGTTTTTGTTGGATATTGACGAAAATGATTTGATATGATTCGTATATCCATATAAAGTTAGAATCATATGCAGATGGAAGATCAAGCTTGCATATTTTATTTACCATAAAAGTTTGATTACACATATTTTGATTACCATAATCTCCAACTAGTTACAGATCCTATTTATGATAAAAAAAAAAAACTCCTTACATGATCATACAATAGTAAAGATCTAAGTCATGGAAGTTTGCAGAAAACCTATAAAGGCGTAATCGACATTGGGGTTTTAAGTTTATGTTTATGTTTTTTAAATTGGAATTAGTTGAGTCTGTTTGTATTAAAAAATGGGAGTTTAAAGTTTTAATAAAATATTTAAAAGAAAGGATATATATGGAAGTAAATAAGTAAAAGTAGGATTCTCTCACCTATTAATTAAAGCAAAAAAAAATAAAAAAAATAAGGCTTAACTAGAGTTAGTGTGGATTACACATGGCAAGTATTGAAAGAGGTGGTGAGCATACCCTATAGTTAGTGTGGGTGAGCAAAAATGCACCCTTATATAATTATTCATGTGTTTTTTTAGATTTACGAAGAAGGATTGCCAAAAATCACTTAATGCTTTGGAAAATTGCTTGGTGATTCTATTTGGTAGGCTTTTAAAATTTCATCTTTTTATTCTTGGTTATTTTCCCCTTAATATGTATTTGTCCTGTTTGTAAGTTTGGTACAAATCTATCTCCTTAATAAATTACTATCATCTGTGAGGATTGTTTTTTTTATCATTTTCGGTGATGTTTTGTAGGATACATGGATAATAGATTTCATATCAGCTACCATGCGTCCAACTATGTAAGACAACCTTCTTCGTTTAATTTAAAATGGTAATGCCATCGATGGTTTGTCTTCATTGATGTCGTAGAGATTGAATTCATGCCTTTGATTGAATTGATTGTTTCATTATCTATAGTTTCATTTGGTTCGTTGTTGGAAAACTGTTGGCAAACAAAAGAACTCTATTTTTTTTTTCTTTTTAAAAGGGGGACAACCCATGGCTTGCCACAATTGTGATGAATACATAGGTCATCTCCAACTGAAGGGTCCAGAGGGCTAAAAATAGCCCAAAAATTGTCTCAAACCGAGGGTTAGGGCAGAGGGCTCGTGGGCCCCACGAAATCTAAAAGGGCCAAAGGGCTGGCCACATGTAGCCAGCCAGCCAGCTAGCCCGGAATTTCTTTTTTAAAACTGTCAGTTTTGCTGTCGATTATAATCGATAGAAATAAAAGAAATAGTGTCAGTTATAACCGACACAAATAGCATGAAAATTTTTTAATATAACGGCTAGTTGATGTTAGCTAGCCGCTATTTTTGAATTTTTTTTTTATATTTTTATTTATTTATTTTTATTTACAAATTTTTTTCCTATAACTTCTATTTTACAAAATTTGTTTCATATATATTTTTAACTTCTATTGTAGATATCAAAATTTCGGTGAAATAAATGTTGGCCATTGCATTAAAATTACATTTGTAGACATTGAAATTTCGGTAAAATAAATGTTGACCATTGCATTAAAATTACAACATCCACTCATTTCACCTACATCATACACTTAATTCACCTACAACAATCCACCCAATCCACCTACAATATCCACCAAAGCAAAAGGATGGTGGTAATTCATTCTCAAAGCCTATAAATAGGCCTCTCTATCAAAGGATCAAGCGAGAAAATTTACATACACTTTCTCTACTCTTAAGCAAATCCCGAAGAATCAAGAAAGCCCTCTTCGTTCTTCGTGAGATCCTCCTTCAAGATCAAGCTCCAACGGCCCTTGAAGAACTTCCACTAATTCAAGATCAAGCCCCGACGGCCCTTGAAGAAAGTCTTCATCATTCATCAACCGTTCATCCAGGATTAAGCCCCGACGACCCTTGGATCAACAACACAATCCACAAATTTACACATCACGAAGATAGAATCAGAGGCTAAATTTGTAGAAGAGATTGTAACCCTTAAATCATTAATACAAATATTCTTTTGTACACGTGTTCTTGTCTCATTCATTGCAGGAATTTCAGTGTTTACAAATTTGGCACGCCCAGTGTGACAATCTCTACCTCTCATCTCTACCTTCGTAATCAGTAAAAAGCAACAATGGCATCAAGGAAGGCTCAAGCCGTTCTCGCAACCAATGCAAAAAACAAGAGCGTCATCGCCGCAAGTGGTGTCACTTCAGGCATCATAACCTGAAGCAAGGCAAGGGCTTTTTCTGCCACCTCTTCCACCTCTGCATCAGCTCCACTGAAGGCACAAGAGCACTCGAGGCACGAACCCGTGATCACCCTGGCCTCGCTAAGGGCGCCAAGATAGGAAAGCCCGAGGAAGTACTCGGAGCCCTTACTTTCCGATGTCGACTCAAGCAGCAGCATAGCCATGCAAGTCATGACTATCGAAGCAACTTCAATCGAAGAGCAGCTGGCTCAAATGAATGAAGTGATCGTAAAACTCACACGGACTGTGGAAGAGAAAGACCTGCAAATTGCAGCACTCGTCAACCAACTAGATGCGAAGCCCGACGTGAAAGTCGAGCAAGGGGATAATCTAGTAAATAAGGAAAACGACGAGGATGAGGAGCCTAATGCGGAGAAAGTCGAAGATACGCTAAAGCCAGACCAATCATCGGCACTCATGGGATCTTTCTCTATCCAGTAGCTGCAGGAGATGATCTCCATCACCATCAAGGCACAGTACGAAGGAAGCTTACATGACTCTGTGCTGTACTCAAAGCCCTACTCTAAGAAGATTGACACTTTGAAGATGCCGAGGGGTTATCAGCTACCAAAATTCATGCAGTTCGATGGAAAGGGAAACCCAAAACAACATGTCACCCATTTCATTGAAACCCGCAACAATGCCGGGACAGAGGGAGACTACCTCGTTAAGCAGTTCGTGCGCTCGCTTAAAGGTAACGCATTTGACTGGTACACTGACCTCGAGCCTGAGTCTATCAACAGTTGGGATCAGCTAGAAAGGGAATTCCTCAACCTCTTCTACAACACACGCCACACCGTAAGCATGCTGGAGCTGACCAGTACGAAATAGTGGAAGGATGAACCT